CAGTGCCAGATGCTAGAAATGCCATGACACCAAAGCATGTGACACGAGGATGATCTGCTCTTTCCCTTACAATTAAAAGAGAAAACTGGGTGTATATTGTCTCCCACTTGGCCACATCACAAACACAGCCAACAGATGTCACCACATGTGATTTATGTAATTACAAAGGAAAGATGTAAATATGCCCCTTAATTTTTTTTTTCAATCAGGAACTGGAGCCCCATCAGGTTGGCTACCTTGTGAAGAAAAGCAGGTGTAAACATAAACAAAAGAACCCAAGGTAAACAGCACTTGGTGGCCTCTGTCCAAAACCATGTCACACATTTGCCTCATGCTTTAACACATCTGTCATTTCCTATTGGGAGCTGCCTAGGCACTGGGTTGGCAACAAGCCAGAATTAAACCCACTGGCAACTATTCATCCCATGTCCATCAGCATGTGCTCTGAAAACCCCTCAGCCTCCTCAGACTCAGCAGCAGCAGCCAGTGTTTCTTTGATAACTGCTACCTCCCAGCAAATTGCAGGTAGAACAGACACCCACCTGAGAACACTCGTTTTCATCTCTGTACTCCCTAACTGCTAACAAGCTTCTCTCTAATAACCATATAAAACCCAGCTACCACACACTGAAAGAAGGCTATTTTTAAGAAAACAAAACCAAGTAGTAAAAATAAGGTTGGCAGCATCAATTATAGACATGAGGACACTGTGAATAAATTACTGCTGATGCTAGGTACAAAGTGTAACAGTCTGGCTTAAAGGAGTAAATACAACAAGAAGTTGTGAATTTTACAACTGTGCCCCAAATTCAGTCTGTGGTTAGACCTTTGGCTTGGGTTCTATTGATTTATCTTTAATATTAGCATTTAACCAACTCCAAAATTATCTTTTCTCCTAGAATTGATGTACACACCAAATAATCACAATGTAATGCTTCATTATTCTTCAAACATTTAGTGCTAATAGGCTCAGCATTAGACATCAAAAAAATAATCAGAGAGAATTATGCGGCTACCAATAATTTTCCCGGATATATACATTCCCTATAAAAGAAGGCTTCAAATGTTCAGGTGTGAATTCATGTTTTCAGGTTATTTCTGTAGCATTTAATATCTCAAGTGATAATGTAATGGTATCAAAATTAGCCAGACCCATTTCCTCCCATAAATGTATATCTGACTCCCTTGAAAATTAATATTATTGCCATGGGTTCCCATTGGTTCTCAGATTCCTATACCCTGTTAGATAAACCAAAAGGAACTAAATTTAAAAGAAGCAACCATAACTGCCCTGTACCTTGGTGATGTACAGCATTTGTATTTCTCTTCAGTCCCATTCCTCACCTCCACACTCAGGCTTCAGCATTTACATTGATGACCACCTAGTACACGGACGTCATAGCCTGTATCTCCTTGGCTTCAATGGCCTCCTTCCTGAACCAGCCACAAACATTTCTGAACATCCTCATCATAAAGTTCTATTCCTACTAAACTGCAAGTGCCATGAGAGCAGAAGCTACAGCTTGCTCATTTTTGCAGCTCCCACAGCATCTGGCAAAATTACTAGCACATAATACACCATTGAGGCTCAAAAATCTTTTTGTTTGAATGCCATGGATTGGAGACCTTTCCCTCAATGTGCTCTCCTCCATGATCACAAAGCTGTCATCTGTTTTCCTCCTCATCTCCAGTCACATCTGCACTTTATTATAAAAAATTTAAAAACCAAGTCTTTCACACATCTTTCAGTCCATCATAATCTTTCCACTGACAACAGAATCCTTATTCAGTCCTGGATTGCTGTGGGGTCACTTCTCTGCCAGCCTTATCACCACCATCTACTGGCAAGTTTACCCCCAAATTAATTTCCCACATATACATGCACTTCCCCTCTTTTTCTAAGCTGACTAGGATGTCTAGAGAAAGATTCAAAGGTGGCTGAGTGTAGTCTCATATTGGGGAATTGCAAGTAGACTTATTTGCTATCTCTCATCAACTCTTGGTTTACTCCTCAGGATTTCCCAGAATTTTTTGCCCCTTAAGCCCTTAACCATTCACACTTCAAGCATGTCAGATTTGCTAATGGTCTACTTCAAGAGGCTGATGTCACATGTAGGTTGTATAAATGAATGCTATGCATCAATGAAGTGCATCCTATGCAGTTAAAATAGAAACAAAGATTTTAGTTTCTCAATGCTTGTTAATGTGATATCTCAGTGAAAGCTCTTTGTCATGGGGAAGACTCAGTCATGTGGTCAACCCACACTTTGATATGTGACTTTATTCCCAACAAATAATTTATTTGAGAAGTTGAGCAAACATGCTATCTTCACTAAAAAAAATGTTGACATAGATACTAATACCTGTCCAAGGATGAGACCACCATTTAAACTTTGGAACAAAAAACAAAGCTGCAAACTTGACTTATTGCTCACCTAGGTAAGGGAGAGCTAAGTTGTTTAGGCACCATCTCACTGAATTAAGCAAAATGCTGATATTACACAGGCTTTTAAGGAAAGGGGTTGGGGAGGAGGGGATTATGTTAGTTACAGAGGAAATAGTAGGTTCACATTAGACTTAAAAGGTGATTTATGTTGAATTAAGAAACATGGTTATGTTTGGTTACAGAAACAGGAGTTGGTTGATGTCAGTCTTAGATGCAAGTTCATTGAAGTGAATCTACTGCTGATTGGCTGACTTTCAAAGCATGAGGTCACTGATTGGTTGGCTTTCAGAGTTAAGTACACAGAAGCAAATTGTCATTGATCAATTAGACAGGATTAAAATCAGTTCTGGTGTTTACTGGTTATCATGTTAGTTTTAATCCTAGGAGTATGAGGACTAAAACATTCTCACACCTAGTAAATTTTGGTGTTGATATTTTTTAGTTCCATCTAACATAAACATACCATTCCCTCAACTAAAATAGAAGACCTAAGTTTGCTTAGAGGCTTTATTTGATTTGTCAAAGTCCATCAATTGGTAGTGATAATACAAAGTGGCATATTGAGAAAATTATGAAATTCCTCCCAGGACCAGCAGGATAGAATAACATCATTCATTAACAATGTTTGCTATGGAGAAAAGAACTCAATGGCAACATTATGCCATGTCTTTTCTGATTCTGCCTGAGATCCAAAGCTGCTCAGACTATATTTGGCTAGGTCAGACTCCCTGAATGGTTATGGCAGAGATTCATTTTCATAAGAAACTGAACAGGCTGAGTTCTAAGCAATTTGAATTTAAGCATAACAATGACCTGGATGGAATCATGGGTATGTATGCTAAAACAATGAGGACAAAATTCAGTGAAATGTTGGTAAATTAAAACAGTGAAAGAACAAACATTTATTTCCAGGAGGAAGAAATTTTTAATTAAAAAACACGTCGTTTTTTAATAATAACTTTTTCTCTGAAAACAACTCTATATCAACTTATAAAATTTTATAATAATGAATAAAATGTTTCCTAAGTTTAATTCTCTAAAGTTATTAATTTTATATTGAAATGTAATATATTATTTTTTAAATTTTAGCTATAAGGCATCTGTGTCTTCAAAAACAAAGGGATCTTATTCCAATAATTAATATACCTCCACACAAAAACTATTATTGGATACAGTAGTATTCAGTCTCTCTCCAGAGTTGACATGTGCATTTCTTCACTTTATGAAAGCAACTCTCAAGATCTAAGGCTATAATCATTTCCAAATTGGGGGAAACAAAAATCTGAACTGGACACTTTGTTAGAGTATAAGAATATGTCACTTTTATGGATCTGGCAAGCAGCCATATCTCAACTTATTTTTGTCATCCTTGGTTCATCCCCAAAAGGAAAACTTAATCTTTATAATAAAAATTAAAAGAAAATGAGGGTTCAAATAACTGAAGGAATTCATGCTTTTAGAAAATTCTATAGGTCTCCAGGAGTATTCCTTATGACTATCAAGGGTCTGCTCAATTCTAATGTTTCCTCAAATATTCAGGGTTGAATCATGTTATAAAATTGTATATCTCTAGTATTTTCTGTAGGACAAAATATCTTGATCTCTCTACTCATCAGGATATAAACCAAAGCTGAACTCTTGGTGATCTTTCTACCACAATGATGATTCTTTATACTCTAAATAGTTAATTTAGGGGACATTAGTAAGCACTTCCCCTGTAGAGTCTTCTACTAATACCATGAGGAAAGAATAAAGAACTACATAAAGACTATTAGGAAATTACAGATGAATAATAACAAAAAAAATAGGATTTAATATCAACATATCATAAAAATTGAAAAAATAAAGGTTAAAAAAAAAAGGCAGCATCATTCACTAATGGTATGACTGAGTAAATTTCTTAACTTCTCTGAAATGTATTCTCCACATTTCTAAAATGGCAAACTCTCTCGTTGAATTTTTTACTGTTAATTGTGGCAATTTGGGTCAAGTGCCTATTCAGTATTTAATGCATGACAAGTGTTAGTAATATGAATAAGGTCAGAGTAAGATTTGGTATGGAAACAAAAGACAGCTTCCTCAGGAAAGTGAAATCTGAGCCAGCTCCCAAAGTAAAGTTCAAAGAGGAAAACAATCCATTCTAGGTAAGGACACAAGCAAAGAAAAGAACATGGAAATTTTCAAGAAAAACATTTAATTATGTTCATCTTAGAAATTATATTCTACTGTCTAATTCTGCATAAGACCATATTATCTTTCTTTTTCATAGTAACATAGAAACTGAATTGAAAGAGCCCTTGAAATGATAGCTTATCTGTTAGCTCAGCTTGAGACAGTTGGGATCATTTTTAAGCTACTCACTTGTTACTTGCTTGAGATGACAAAAAAAAAAAAGGGCAATTTTCAAAATATAAAGCCTTTTATTTGGCAGCTAAGCCTGTCTTTAACTTAAGGCTAAGATAACACATCTTGAAGGAGCTGCTGCCTGGGTGTCCTCGGCAAGGGCACCAGTCCTTCCAGATCCCGCTCCCCTTTCCCCAGCGCTGTCACTCACCATTAATGCTCCTGACACTGTGCTTCATCCAGGCCACTTGCTGAGGTGGAAGGTGTTTCTCCTGAGTGTCTCACTTATGAGCAGAGAACAATAGTCAACATAAAAACTTCAGTCAAGCAAAAGCCTAAAGAAAAAACTCCTGCCACAAACAACTTCTGTTTGTCCATCTCAATAGATGGAAATACCAGGTGTTTATTAGAGTATACACATTGTAAGAAGAGACAGGGTCACTTGTGAAAAAATTGCCTAAATTAATAATTTTTTTAAATAACCTTCAATAATAGTTAATGTGGTGGTCAGGTCCTCTAGGAGTTTGGGGAGTGCGGGCCAGCTATCGACCTCATCATCATGTTGGCCTCAGTAGCATCGGTTCTTAGAAGAGCACTTGAGCACCACGCCTCAGCGTCTGAAGCTGCTGGGCAGGAACCTGCTGTATATTGCTGCTAAATGAGGTGCTGCAGTCTGGTTATTGTCTCCTCATGGGGACCTTCCCCTTCAACTCTTTCTTCTCAGGCTTCATCTCTTGTGTGGGGAGTTTCATCCTAGCAGACTGTCTGAGAATACCAATCAACCCACAGAACAAAGCAGATTTCCAAGGCATCTCCCCAGAGCGCGCCTTTGCTGATTTGCTCTTGGCCAGCACCATCCTGCACCTAGTTGTCATGAACTTCATTGGCTGAATCATTCCTATTTGCTTAATTGAGGAATGGGAAGGTAGAAAATGTTCACTTTTTTATTTCCCCTGGAGGAGAGCTCTTGAAGTGGCAGCTTATTAGGCACATGGATTTTCTTCAGATTTATACTTACTGCTGGCTTTGATTTGGTATGCTGGTGGAGAATCAGAGACATCCCCTAGCTTCTGTGTCAGAACAACTTGTAGTGAGCATGTATTTCCGTGACCACTCCCTTCAAATGTGCAACCCTTTTGCCTTTCAAATTAAACTCCACGCTACTCCTTAAAATAATAACCTTTAATAAAGTGGATTAATAAAACCTCCATAGACTTAGTAGTTCTGTTTTAAAAGTTTTGTTTTCTAAAGAATGAATATATGAAAGATAAATGCTATTTACAGCAAAAACAGAATAACTTTTGTATACCAACACTTCCACCAAAAGTAACAAGAAAGGCTCTATAAAATAGTTTTTAAAGTATGTGGGCATTGGGGAGCTTTGGGGGGCTCTAGGAATTGAGGGGCCATGTTCTCAGAAAAAAAGAGAAATTCTTTGAGGTGAGCCCAATACTCTGCACACAGATTTCCCCTTGGGGTGTTTGCTGAACAAAGTACGAAGGGAGAGACTGAAGGCAGAGATTTAAAAGTTTTGCAGAATACAAATTCCAAAAGGCAAACAAACCAATGGATCTTCTTTCATAGAGCTACAGAGAACAAAATATTACACTGTTGGCCTGCTCAGGTAGCCAGGTGGGCCAGAGCAGCTGAGATCACTGACAAAAGAGAAGCAAAGAGAAGTAAGCACAAACTCACATAAGTGTTCCCCTCATAACGTTTTCCAGTTCTTACATTGCACAAGGGAAAGTAACTAGGAAGCTGGGCAAAAACCTTCAGCAAACCTAGTGCAGCTTTCCAGTCTCACATGCCAATGAAACAAAAGGTGAAGTTCAAGATTTGCCAAGTAAGACAGCCCAGGAATATACCCTAAGCTCTAATTTGGAAACTTTTGAGTTCTATCATCTGAGATGGGGCAAACCTTAAACTCTAGACATATAAAGTCCAAAATATAGTCTAGAGTTTCTTCAATCCCTGATTAGATTAAGGGGTCTGCCCTGCTGTAGTTGCCTAACAGAGAAGAGGGTGAATCACCTCTGGGGGAAGATAGCATCATCTAGAACCTCTCCACTTTTTCATATATAATGCCATGATTCAATTTAAAAAAAGAGTAGGCTTATATATAAACAGGACCAGTTGAAAAGCTGACACTAGAAACAGACCACCAGATAACTCAGTTACCATATACAAACTTTAAAAGGTATAAATGATGTTTAAGAAAATAGAGAATTTCACCTGAGAACTAAAATCTATAAAAAATAATTAATTTTAAATGGTAGAACTGAAAAGTAAAATAATTGACATGAAACTGTGATTAATGTTTCAACAACAAACTAGATATGAAGAATTCATAAACAAAAAGATAAGTTATTGTAAAATAGGCTGATAACAGGAAGAAAGGGATACAAAAAGAGTATAAGAGATGGGAACATAAAGAAAAAGTCTAAGGTTCATATCACTGGCAATCTGGGATGAGAGTATGAGAGAATCCGGCCAAAGCAATTTTTGAAGAAATATGGTTGATTCAGTTTTAAGACTTATGAAAAACATCAATCTATAGATTTATAAAGTTCAAAGAATTCCAAAGAGATTAAACAAAAAGAAAACAGATCTAAGCACATTATAACCAAAACTCCTAAAAAAAAATTATAAAGAAAAAAATATTAAAAATCAGCGAGAAGAACAAAACTCATTAGCTTCAAATGAGCTACCAAATTAACAGCTAAATTCTAATGGAAATGATGGAAGCCAGAATACAATAGAATAAGTGCTGAAAGACTTCTTTAAAATCCAGAATAGAATTATATATCCAGAGAAAATAAGCTTTAAAGATAAAAATGTAATACCTAATGTTGAGGAAGATGCAATTAGGTATGTGGTATTTGCTATTTACTCTGAAATAGTCCTAAAGAATTATATATAATCAGAGCAAGAAAAAGCATAAATCCAATGTCGTAAAATGCTAACTGTAGGAAAGTTGAATAAAAGATATACAGATACTGTTTGTACTATTATTGCTGCTTTCTTGTTAGTATGAAATTACTTCAAAAACAACAGTTTTAAGAAAATAAAATATGAAAAGATGAAGCATCTCTCCCCATTATATCATATCTCTCCTTTTCAAAAACTACAAAACAAAAAAAAATTATAACAAATAAAGTTAAATAGAGAACATTCCAGAAATTCAAAGACAGAGAAATCTTGTCCTTACAAAGTCCATACTAAAAGAAATACTAAAGGAAGTTTTTTAGGCAGAAGAAAAATAATCCCAATGAACCTTTGAAAATGTAAGCATAGAAGAGCAAAAAAAAAAGGGGGGTAAATAAGGGACTAGAATGACTCTCTAAAGATTAATGGAAGTACACCAGAAGATTGCATTTAGATTAAGATATCACAAAACCAAAAAATAGAGTGCAGAGGAAGATATTTTTAAGTTCAAAAGAAATACATTTTGATACAGAAAATAAGAGTATCAAAGTAATTTTTCTGTTGGGATAAAATCATGCCAAAAGAAGAAAAAAAATCACTACAGATAAGAAAAGCATGGATTTATAACCATAATCAATTCTCCTTTCCTCTGTTTTCTCTCCAATCCTACTCCCTCCCCGACAACTATATCAACAGTATTACCATTACTGTTGTGTTGCCTCAATTTTCCCAAATAGTCACCCTTTGAGAAGCAAGGTAACAAAAGTTCTAACAAGCACCAGATTTCTTGGACACCACTACTTAGAATAGTTCTTACAAAGACTATGTTCATCAATCAAATTTTTAGAAAAATGGTTAGAGATACCATACAAAATGGCGATGGAGTAAATGGAAGCTACACAGACCATCTCCCAGGACCAAACTGGAATTGCAACCAAAATAAAGACAATTCGTTGGGAAAAAGAAACAGAAAAGAAGCTTGCAAGTACCATATAAACAGGGACATTGAATTGATCCTGGTAGGATTTCAGAGGCATGAGAGGAGGCCTGGGAGCCCATGGACAGCAGCAGTCTTAGCTGTGAGCAGCACCCATGGGGCTACACTCCCACGCCTGCTATATAGCACACAGGGCTGGGACAGAGTGCTAAAAGAGCCACTCACCATGGGCTCCAGCAGAGGGAGGGCAGACTGGACTAAAACTATGTGCAGACACTCGAGATTTGGAGGGCACTCAGAGCATTTGCTGAGTTGTGGCCACAAAAACAGTGGTCATGTTAGTCCTTCCCTGAGCTCTGAGGAGAGGCAGCAGCCCCTCCCTTGGAGATTCAACCCTACCTGACAGGCCATTGAAATGCAAATTGAGGATTATTAACAACCAGCATCTGTCCCACCCTCAGAAAATCTCCTTACACTGAACACCTGAGGGAGTTTATCATTCAAATGAGAACCCAAGGCTCTTCAAGTAACCCGACTAATAGCCTCCAGGCTAAAAGCTAGAGGATAACTGAACCATTCCTGGGCTTGGAACTCTACCCTAGAAAATAAGACATGACAGTGGTGTTTAACCTGGGTCCTTCCACGCTCATCCAAACCCAGGAGAGGAAGCCAAAAACAGCAGAACACCAACACCCACAGGGAAAATTTGGCAGGCTCCAAAACCCACTGAGATCATGAAAATGGTGAAACAGAGAAATAAATCCCAAATGAAAGAACAAGAGAACTTTACTGAAGATAGGATAAAATAAATGCAGTTAAGCAAGTTAACAGAGCTAGAATTCAGAGCCATGATCTTGAGGAAGCTCAACAGTATGAGTAAGGACATCAACACCACAAGTAAAGACATAGAAACATTGAAAATCAATGAATTGAAAATTAAAAACCACCAAGAAGAAATGAAGAATGACATATCAGAAATAAAGAACACATTGGAAGGACTAAACAGCAGAGTAGAGGAAGCTAAGGACTGGATCAGTGCATTAGAAGAAAGACAGGGTAGAAAAAAATCAACCAATTAGAAAATCAAAAGGAAAAAACAATTAGAAAACAGGAAGACACCTTAAGAGAACTGTGGGACAACTGGAAACCTAATAATATTCACATCATAGGAGCCACCGAGGAAGAAGAAAATGAGCAAGGGTTAGAAAATATATTTGAAGAAATAGTGACAGAAAACTTCCCTAATTTTATGAAGGAAGAAGGCATTCAAGCTCAAGAAAAACAGAGAGCCCAAAGTAAGAAGAACCCAAACAGGCCCACACAAAACACATAGTAATTAAAATGCCAAAAATTAAAAACAAAGAGAGAATCCTAAAGGCAGCAAGAGATAAGCAACAGGTTACCTACAAAGGAAACCCCATA